GAAAATTTCTATGTATTGCAAAGATTAATGAATCTAATATGGTCACAATTTTATCATCGATACTTAGGATAAAATAATCCAATTTAACTCAGAGTTTAAAATTATGTGAAAGTTTATAATAAGTATTAAAAAGGTTATGTAGATTAAAGATTAGTTAATAGTACAGGAGTTAATAGATTTGGCAGAATATTTTTGAGGCGTTGAGTTTCTTAAAGATTAAGTTTGATACTCATTAAGGAATCAGGTAAATTTGGTAAGCTATTTATTTGAGTTTCATAGCACCAGAGTATCGTTAAGGATTTTGTAAAGTTGGTAGGATAGTTTGTAGTATTATAACAATAAAGTTTCGTTAAGGAGTTGGATAAAGTTGGTAAACATTTTATTTTAGTCTTATAACAACCGAGTACCGTTAAGGAGTTGAGTAAAGTTTGTAGGATAGTTATTGGAGTATTAAAGCAATAAAGTTCCGTTAAGTAGTTGGGTAAAGTTGGTAAGCACTAGAACACCAGAGTTTTGTTAAAGAGTTGGGTAAATGTGGTAGGATAGTTATTGGTAATAAAGCAATATAGTTCCGTTAAGGTGTTGGGTAAGGTTGGTAAGCTGAGTGTCATTGAAAAGAGTTTTGTTATTTTGCGATATCTTTGTAATCCTCCTGAGCATATAGTTTGTCGTCCTAATCGTTAAACTAACAGTAGTATCATCGAATTCTTCTATTTAATGATCATTATTACTAGATAAAGTATTAACTCTCCTCGAATAACGATATTGTGATAATTGAAGAGTTGCTTCATCATCAATATTGATTAGTTTGTCTTCTTTCATGTTATAATTGAATTTAATTGATCAACTACTTGACTCATGTCCGGATGATTGTCTGGCTCAATATCCCAGCACACTAGAATCATATAAAAATTTAATGACCGTAAACATAAAATTTAGTTTTTTAATTAGATAATATATTTACCAGTATAAATGTTCACATATTCATCAGATGCACCAGGAACGATACATTCTGGTAAAATTTCTATAGCTAAACAAATGTTATATTCTTCACCTTCAACATGAAAAGGTGGATGACCACTTGATAGTTCCCATAAGAGCACGGCAACGATATAAACGTCACTTTTTTGTTTAGTGTATATTGTATCGATGTTTAGTCATTTTTTATTTCTCTAAGAAACCTTTTTGGATCAATATAAGGAATTACTCCAAATAATTTTGACTGATTAGTTGTCGCTTCAATTCTTTTGGAAAAACCAAAATCTGCTAGTTTAATAACGCCTTGATGGATTAAAATATTGCCTGAATGCTATTCATATAAAGAAAAAAAATATTATTATTATTAATTATTTAAAAGAAATGCTCATATTAAATAAATTTGACATTAGACCACCGTACCGTCACGATGTATAATTCCTTTGTCATGTAAACACGATACAGCACAAGCCAACTGACATGCCAAGTTATATTTATCTTCCCAAGCAAGCTTATCAAAATTACCCTCTTATTATTCAAGTGAGGAAATTTGTTTTCAGTATGGAAAAATACCAGAAGATGAATGTGATGAATCTGATAGAGTTAATGTAAATGATGGATATTATTATTATTGTGGTGATTGTAATATAACAGTTTCAAGCAAGTATACCAAGTTTCGAGCAACGAAAAATCGTGAAAATAATGTAATTTTTATATATAAATAAAAATAAATAATTTAAGATAAATAAGAAAAATGATTTTTTTGAATTAGATAAAAATTCCCAAAAACATTAATTATATATAAAATAATTTAGTTTAATATTTTATTTAATAAATAAATTAGAAAATTACAAACTCTATCAACATGAATTGTCTATAAGACATCTTAGAAATCCTATTATACATTAAATGATTTTCGAAAAATTAAAGGAATAAATATATAATTCATGAACCAATCCTTTAAGTCAAATATCATATTCTAGACTTTAACATATCTAGGCTATATTGAACTGCTGATAAATTTAAAACGAATCCTTTGAATTATCAAATTTCATCTTTTTAAAAAATTTTTGAAGTCGAGAAGAAAATTTATTTGATCTTGATACCACAACTTTATTTGCACCTGATTCCACAACTTGACCTGTATTTGATTGCGACGATAAGTCATCTAAACTACCTAAATTCTTATTTTTTGATTCTGATTCTCTTACAGTATACTGATGAAGATTTTGAATCATGTTAGAAAGATTTGACTCATTTATCTGATCAAAATTTTGAATTAATTGAGATAATTCTCCATGTAAAGAAGAATGTGTACTAGAATTATTTAAAAGAAGTAGCTGTTCAGATAATTGACGATTTAATACATCAATATCCACTTGAACAGTTTCAGTAATGCTAGCTTTTGTAATTATTGCATATAATCTATCAACTACTTTGTTCATAGTTGGACGATTATCTGGTTCATTATCCCAGCACTCTAAAATCATAAAAAACTTGTTAGTGATCGATATACTGTACATTTTAATTAAATTGTAAGATAATTTATTTACCAGTATAAAGATTTACATAATCTTCAGGTGTACCAGGAACGACGGATTCTCTACGACCTTGCGTAATATCTATAGCTAAGGAGACGTCATATTCATCTTCAACATAAAAAGGAGGATGACCGCTTGAAATCTCCCATAATAGCACGCCAACACTGTAAACGTCACTCTTTTCATTTAGCGTGTGTTGATGCGATGTCTTATCACTCTTCCTTTGTCTATCAAAACGTATTGGATCAATATAAGGAATTACTCCAAAAACTTTTGACTGTTGTTTAGTTGCTGCGACAATTCTTTTCGACAATCCAAAATCTGCTAGCTTAATAACATCTTGATGAATTAATATATTGTCGGAATGCTATTTCGTACATAAAAAAAAATAAAAAAAATTAATTATAAAAACAGCAATATTCATATATGAAAAATAAAATACGTTATCATGTAAGATTACCAAATCTCGATGCACAATATTTTCATCATGTAAACAAGATACAGCACAAGCCAACTGGTAAGCCAAATTGAATTTATTTTCCCATGTGAGCTTATCAAAATTATTCTTGAAATAGTTTCTGAGTGTACCGCCATCAGCAAATTCCATTACTAACCAATATTTTTCTTGATCATTTTGATTTTATAAATTATTTATATTTTTTTTTAAAAAAAAAAAATATTTATACAAATTTAAATAAATTATAGTCAATATAAACTATGTTATGAAGAAATATACCTTGTTTTGAAATTGTAATTCCAAAAAAACGTAAAATATTGAAATGAAAATCAACTTCACGTTGAAGTTCAAGCTAAATATAAATTTTATCTTGATATATGAATGATTTTATAATATATAAGACTAAAATGCATATTATATTTTGTAATTACCTCACGAACGAGTTCTTTAACAGTGGCATTGTTAAAGTTATGAAACGTTTTTAACGCGAGAGGTTGTTTTGTATTTTTCCAATTTGCACGAAAGACTTTTCCAAAGGTTCCAGCACCAATCTCTTGAATATTGCTAAAATGTTCGAATTCGTAGTATTTAATATGTTTTTTTAAAATAGCTTCTTCAATCCAATTAATCCACTCATTTGAACTATTGATGATTCTTTGCATTTGTATTTATTTTTTTTATAAAAAAAAATTATTTAGAACGAAAATATTCTTTGAAAAAAAAAGAAATGGAACGTAAATCAAATTTGAAGAAAATCGACAAATTGGGTAACCAATATATGAAACCAATTACGATTGTTTTATAGTAATACAAAGTGAAGATCCTTTTTCAATAAGAATTTACTATATAAACATCAAACGATTTGGGAAGGTTTGCTTTTAATTTATCGTGTGATTTATTTTTTTTAGAACGGTTTGTAAGGTTTCATTAAAAACCGATTCGTAAAAAATTTTAATTTAATCTATATCGATTTTTTCATTGTTTCTTTAAAAGTCAACAAATTTATCAAAGTGTTAGCTAATGATTTTACATTTTTTTCTTATTATTTTGTTTTATTGAGAGAACCAATAATTTTATAATTTTCTTTTATTGTTAAAAAGATTAACGATATAGCCAATTATTTTACAATATTCTTATATTGTTACCAAATAAAAATAATTTAATAAAAAAATCAATATATATATCATGTTTTTCAATGCATGCAACTATAGAATGTACAAAATTAATATACGAGTTTTTAATAGGCAAATCTTCAAAAAATTGGCTTACAATGGAACGCATTACTACTGGCATAAGCAAATTTCTGAACTAGCTATTTCCAATCTAGTTAAATTAACTACAAACAAACTTCTTAGTATTTCTATTGATGAATCAACTCGTAGTCAAAATAAAATCTAGTAATTTATTTTATATATTGAAATAAAGAACAAAATTATTCAATAGCAAGCATGATATTATAAAATAATATAATGCTAATATAATTGCAAGATCAGTTATTAATATTTGTCAAAATTATATTAAAACCTTATTAAAAATTTGCAAAAGTCAGAAAAAGTTAAAACAATATCAAAACTTATAATAATGGTAAAATTATATTAAAATTTTAATAAAAAATTAGCAAATTAAAGATTTAGATATTTTATCAAATTCAAATGAATTTAAACAAGCAACTTTATTTTTTGTGAATTTTATAATTTTTGTTCTAATGTATAACCAGTCCTTATATTAATATATTTTAATCAAAATATTTATTTATATCTTTTTAACTTTAAAATCTAATTGACTTTAATTTTGAAACTATCAATAATAACTAGAAAAGAAAGTATATTTGCTTTGAAATCTTCTATTTCTAATCTTTTTTAATCTTTATCATAAATAAACTGAAAGATTCGTTTATAATAGTTAGAATAAAAGTTATAATAATAAAATTAGAATTAAATATTAGTCAGCAAAGGGAAGAAGAGCTTTGAAAATTTTATTAATATTTTTTTTTTGTCATTGCTTTCTATTTGTACAATATTAATCAATTAGTTATCCAAATATTTTAACTCTTTTTTCATATAATTAGCATATAAAAAATATATAATGTTTTACTTATTTCCTTCTAAAATAATAATAAAATAGTCATTTAAACTTTTGTAATACTAACAATTAAAGCATTTTTATCACAATTAATATCATCAAAAATCCATTTATTTACTAGTAAATATTTTATAATATTTTATATTTATATTGTCCAGTACATTAAATTTGATCCTTTATGTATTTAAATATCAAGAATATAATGTATATCCTTTACCTTAAGAAAAAAAGCAATATTTATTATAAAAATGCACTAACATTATTATTGAATAATTTTTTAAATAAAATCTTTTTATTATTTATCTTATAATTTATGAAGATACTTATTATCAAATTAAAAATAAGAATTATATACTCCTAAACTTAATAAAATACTAACAATTTCTTTGATTGCATCTCTATCAACCTGCTATATATTAAATTAATTTTATAATTTTTTAGTTTCATTAATCTTTCATATTATTTAATTTTATTTTCAATAAATTAATAATTATACATAATGTAAATTTAATATCAGTCAGTGGTCATATCAGGGATTGACATCAGGAACTAAATTTCATTAGTAAATTGACATTATATCGATCAGTTTTTGTAAAATCGTTTTTAGTCAAATAAAAAATAATTTACATAATAACATATATTGAAATTTTACACGTGACGTCATCTTATCTCAATGCTATAGTGTATTAATTTTTACTACGATTGAATTAATATTGAGTGACTTTTATTAGTAGTGAATTTTTGACGAATGAAAAATTGCCAAGTTTCTTATTGCTCTAACTTCAAAAAGGTTGTTTCACTATGCTCTGTATTACGAATATATGCGAAATTTTGAGTTATGAAAAAGATATTTTTGTCTTCGTAGTGAGAAAAAAAAACTATTAATAAGTTGCATCTCTCAGTTCCATTTTGACAACTAAAAAAAACACAAATTATAATGTCAAAACAAGACTACAATATTCTCTCTCCTCCACTTTCTCCCTTTCCTATAGACTTGATAAAAGATGATATTAACGAAATAAACAGTGAACATGAGAGAATTTCACGAGAGTTTAGTGAAATACTAGCTTGTATTAATAGTGATTTTGATGATAGTAGTACTAGTAGTGTGGACTTTGAAGACTTTGAAAACTTTGAAGACTTTGAAAAAGTTAAATAACAGAAAATTTATGATAATATGGATGAAATTATAGACCATTTAGAATGAACAAGATTTACACTGTACGTAATTATTGATTTTATTAATGAAAAATTTTAACGTTATAACGAAATAGGAAAGTTAAGGCAACTTCGTAATTTATTTGGTACATGGCAAATTGATAGAGATGCTGCTAAAGAAGTTGATGATGTTTTATCAAAATTAGAAGAGTGTGATTCACATTTTCAATTTGATAATAAATATTTGCACAAAGATAAACCATAAAACAAATAAACAAAGGAGTTTAATGAAGGAATTATTAAATGGCGTTGATGTATTTCATGCAATAAGTATGTAACTTTTTTTTCTAGAGGCGTAGGATGTATTATACATTCTTGGTATTTGAATAAACAAAATATTCAAGTTTCTTGTATTGATCAGTATACTTGTGAAGCATTACAATCATGTCCAAATTTATGTAATAAAGCTTTTGAAAATATTAAAAGACCTAAATGTATTTGTTGTTTATGTTATGAAGAGTTGGGTGGTCATATTTATAATCGTTTTGAAAGTAGAGGGGTAAAAGCAAAAATATGTATTACTGAAAAATTACATGCAGATGATACAACAAAAGGACTTGAATTTTTAGGCAATTTGTTAATCAGAATTGCACAAATAAAAAGTAATGAGATTAAAGAAAATATTTTAATTAAAACTCTTGAAGCACTTTTATCAACATCTATTGATCGAGCTATTAATGAATTAATTAATCACGAAAAACAAGAAAAAATTATTCTTAATAAAGTTCCAAGTTTATTTATGATAAAGATTTTTTTTATAAAAATTTTTAAAGAAAAAGATGTCAAAAAAAATGTAGAAATTAATGATTTCAAAGTAAATATTTTTTTTCTTTATTTTTTTCGAATTATTTTGGTTATTTTAGTAAAAATAATAATTTTAAGCTTTTGTTTGTTTAAATCTAAAAAGGAAAAAATATTAAATTATTTTTGCTTATTTTTT